CCCCCCCCCCCCCCCCCGTGGCTACTGCCGCCTGCGCACGTGGCCATCTGTAGTGCCACGTGGCAGCTTGCTGTGGAACTGAAGACCTTCCTGATCAGGGGGCTGCTCTATACCGGTGAGGGTCTGCTCGCACAATATATCCTCGGTCTGCAGTACTACTGCTAAGGGTTGATCAAGATCTTAGCCCCGTCTCTCCTCCAGCTGGCTTGCTGCAGTGAAGGTCAAGACCCTCCTGGTCTTGGTATACCTTGTGCCCTTGGAGACACCAAGGGTCATGTATCACCTCCCTCATCCCTCTCCCTACTAATCCACTTTCTCTACCTTTTTTCTCTCCTCTTACTCACCCCCTTTACTCTTTCCTCTTCTACCTCACTCACTTCCCTCTAATCACTCTCACTCCTCACACCCCTCTCCCCACCTTTCTCAACTTTCTCCTTCTCTCTTTCTTATTTCACTCCTCAACCCCTTCTTTTCCCCGTACCTTCCACTTCCTCTTTCCCCTCCTTTTCTTCCCTCCCCCACCCCACCTTTCCTCCTACCACCCCTCCACCTTTCCCATCCCTCTCTCTCCCATTCTCTCACCCTCGTCTCCCCCAACTACAACCCCATTGTCCCCTCACCTTCCACTTCCATCCTTTTATTTTTCTCACCAATTTCTCACTTTCTCCTTCACTTTTTTATCCCCCTTTCCCCCAACTTCGAAGTTTTTTTATTTTTCTTCTTTTTATCTTTCTTTTGATTTATATTTCCTCTTTTTTTCAAAAATTCAAATTATGTTATTCCCCACCTTCTTTTCTCATTTTCTGATTTATTTTATTTTATTTTTATTTATTATGAAAATATGAATTTTTTTACGACACCCTTAAATCTGATTAGGAGTTGGTCATTCTTGCATTCGACACACATTTTGACCCCGTGGGGGTAACGAAGTGCTGCCGAAATTTTCTCATTTTACTTAGCCTTTCTTCTTGATGGTATGGGGGTAACGAAATGCTTTCGAAATTTTTGAAAAATCCAACGCTTAATTTCTCTTCACCTCCTCAACTATTTATTTATTTATTTATTTTCTGAAAATTAAATTTGTGGCATTTTGAAACTTGATGTGCTTATCTTGGCCTCTCCTGTCCCTTGGCACATTCTTGACCCCATGCGGGGTAGGGAAATGCTGCCGAAAATTCAAAAAAAATAAATATTATTTCCCTTTTCACATTTTGTTTCCTTATTTTTTTAATTATTTTATTTATTTATTTATTTATTTATTTTTAAGTTGCTCTCAAAATTTCATTGTTTATTTATTTTTCTCTTCCCCTCCCCCTCTATGGTTGCTATTCTCTTTTCTTGATTAGGTCACTGATACCCTACCCTAACTACCCCCCCTACTTCCCCTTTCCATTCGGGCACCCTTAACCCGAGTCACCCTTCCCCTTTTGCGGGCGCCCTTGCTCGACTCACTAGCGTCGACCGTCGCTTTCTAGCATGGACCCCCCCCTACGCCCTTCGCTCACGCGAACCTCCTCTGGCCCCCTCCAGTCAGGCCCGTCACCTCCCCATGACCAACAACGTGTCACAAGCCGGCGACGTGGCGACGACCTCGGCACCGGGCTCCGTACCCGTGCCGGCGAACCAGGGCTATCAACCCCAGGGCGATGTGCACACCCTCCTCACCTCCCTTCTTGTGCCCTTACATGTGCAGGTGGCAACTCTTGCCGCTGGCCTACGGCAACTCCAGGATGCTGGTTGTCCTTCCTCTCCCTACTCTCCCTCTTCCCTTGGCTCCCAGTCCGGGTCCCCCGTCCTCCGACATGGTGGCCACGACGGAGCTTCCTCCTCCGCTGCCCCCGACCCGACCATCTTGATGACCGTCCACGCTCTTAGCGCGACGACCACCACGGGCCATGCCTTCCCTCACTCTACGGACGCACTCGCCCAGATTCCGGTCACTACGGCCACGGGACCACAACCTGCTGCCGTGGTCTCAGCTTTTCCGGGCGCCTCGCTTCTCCCTCCCCTTCGCACGGCCGCCGCGCCACCTGGCTCTCACCCTTATGGGATGCCCCGCGCCGCTCGTGCGTCTACTTCCCCCACTCCTCCTCCTACTACTCCCGGCTCGATCTATGTCCGCCGTCCTGAGACTGAGCTTGCCCAAATCCGGGTT